AATCCAGACTTTAGACCAGATGAGGACAGAAGGAATTTGTAAATTGATCTGGCAAATCAGTTGAGTAACTTACATTTTAAAACTTTTATCCTTTATCTGGATTGTATGCATCAGGAGATGGAGGCTACTACTTCTTTTGGCAAGTTTTTCAACTAGATAATTTTTTAATATGGGGCATAAATTTGTATTTATGTAGATTCAGAATCCACTTATTAATTTTTGCTTGTTTTCTATCAAGAGAAGGTCTTCAGATGATTGAAAGCTGTAATTGTCAGCTCTTAGAATCCTGTTCAACTAATCAAAAGTTAGCTGTCACTGTACAGCAATTTCAGAATTTCTGATACAGAATTTTCATGTGTTGTATATCTACAAACACATAGGTTTTTATTAATATTAATCAGATATATAAATATATAACATTTATGGATCTACATTATACATTAAATATATCTTACACTTTGTATATGTATATTTATAAAACCCAGGCAAATGCAGGGGTTTGGGGTTTATTTTCTTTCAAACATGCTTGGCTTCTGCTCTCTGCTGTAGCCTTACATGGTCAGGGATATTTTATGGTACTTGTAAGTAGACTCTGAAGTTCACTACAAGTCTGTCATGTTGATGCCAGAAATAACTGTATTTAGAGCTTCTACTACCTCCTTTGACAGAATTGCAAGATTTAATTATGCTTTGTTTGAAAGTATGTACTTTTGTTAGCTTGGTAATTTAACTGGTCTCCAGAGCCTTGTTTCCCAAGGAGTGTTTGTCCTCTGTTTACCCCTTTGACCATTTCCATAGCTTCATCGTTCTTTTAAATGCCATTTCATTCCCCTGATGCATCTGCCTTCCAAGATGAAGAGTTTTGGACTGTAGAATTTTGCATAGAACCTGCTCGGTGCCTTTGATTGTTCTTGCTGACTTCCTTGTGCCTCTTTTTTGTTCAGCTACCCCATTTTTGAGGGAAGATGATTCAAGCTACGTGCAGGGTTTTAAAGTTTGTTCACCATGCATTTCTGTGGTGAGATAATGGTGTTCATTATTCATTTCTGTAATATTCCTGTTGCTGCATTTCTTACTAATAAGTATTGAGATTTTCAGTATTGATGAATGTACTATCTTTCCTGAACAGTGACAGCTAATCTGGAGCCTGTCTCACATACGTTTATATGTGTATGGAATAGAGTGCTCTCAAGGGCATGTGTTAGGATTCTCTCTTAACAGGGTTTGTGTGAAGGGTCGGTATAAGCATTTACCCACCAGTACCCATCACTAGTTCTGTCATACTTCATATAGAGCTTATAGCAAAAGTAGCTAGCCAAAGTGATTATAAAATTGTTTTAAGATGTACAATCAGTAGTTTTTATCACAGGATTTTCTGATTAAAAATTTTAAGGGGCAGCTGGTATGTTACCTGGAATGTAAGCAGATTAAAGGAGACATCAGAAATTTTTGAGCAGAGGGTAAATAAAAGCTGCAGACTCATGTCTTAAAATTTAATTTGCTGCAATCATGACATCTGTTCTACTGAATGTTATCTTGCCATTATTAAAGTGAGCTGCACAAGATAGTGGGCAGGCACTGGTTTTTTTAATACTGGCTTTAACCTCTGACTGTCTTTTAGCCAGTGTCCGGTGGAACTACACACAAGTAGAAGCAGGAATTCAGGATTATAGAGCTGTTGGCCTGTCCAAGTGAATTTGGATTGCATTCACAATACTGAAGCTTGCTGTGTGTTCAACCATGCAGGGCATACTCAGCACTGTCGTTCAGCAGTTTCACAGAGCCTTCAAAATGTTACACAGGACACATTGATCTTTTTCTTTCAGTCTTAGATGAAGAGGGAGAAATAATGTCCCCATTCTGAAGATTTTACTTCATTTCAAACCAACAACTCCTTCCTTTTATTGATACTGATTAAAAATTTATCAGTCTGCAAGGGTTAAATTTATAACACTTAAATCTTTTCTGTTTATAAACTGTACTCCGGGGCAACTGAACCAGGCAACCTAGATATGGGAAAAATTAAGTACTTAATACATCAACTTATCACCTGCCTATCAGGGATGCTTAGATCCACTTGTGGTCACTCTCTCCCAATGCATCTCAGAATCTGTAGTAAGCCCACAGCTTCCTTTCCTCTTAATTGGCAGTGTATTTTCAGACTTTGAAAAAGAGCTGCACATTCTCATTAGGCATTTGAAATAACCAGGCAGAACTCATCTTACTTTTCTCTTATTTCCATCATCCCCCCACCTTACAAGAGCTCTTTATTTTTTCTCTCTGCCTTTATGTAGTCTAGTATGAAAACAGTAAAGTGACTTTCAAGAGCTAGATATAACAAAATACAGCTGCTTCCCCTAGGAAGGTCTGTTCTAACTCAACAGCTTTCAATCACAAGGCAAAACAGGTAAAGAAGGTAAATGTTCTCAAAATAATTTCCAATTCTAGGACTTTGCCCCTCCCACAACATTAGTTTATACGTTTATACTGTCAACTCTCACTTTTTCTGTTTTCCTATTCAGCATTTGCTACTCTTCCATTACAATTTGCACCTTTAAGCTTCAGAGAGGGGGTTCCCATTGCATTCTTCCACTTCACCTTTCTTCCTAAGAGCCTTATGTATTCTGCTAATCTTTTTCAGAGGCACTCTTGTGTACTTGAGCCCTAATTACTGTTCCTCTTCATTACAGCAGCTTCTGCCTGAAACAGCTCCAGCAAGATCTCTGGATCTGACCTGGCATTGTTCTAAATGTAGCTTTTCTTAAGCTGCTCTACTCAAGGAACAATGCTTTATTGTTTAGGCCATAATAGACTGATAGATATCTGGTCACCTATTTCAACCATTTGTAAAATACAAATTTGTCATGAGTTATTTCAGCAGTAGCATACCTGCTAGAAAAATATACAGCCTTACTTTGAAAACAACAAACTGCTTTCCTTGGGTAGGTCTTAAGATCTTAATTACACAGCACTGTATGATACTACTAATAATTTAATAAAAATAATACTAGTAGTAAATAATTCTATTTTAATTTGACCTGCATATGGCTTTTATTGCAAAAATAGCCCTTCAGTATCAGTAGCTCCTCCTTATGGTGAGGTAAGCTAATGAATTAATTTCTCATTCTTCTTTATGATATGGAAAGAAATTGAGCTACTTATTGCTAACTGTAAATTGGTAGCTTAAAAAATACCTTTCCAGAAGTTGCTCTAAAGCTCACCATGCTACTTAACAACAAGCTGCCACTTAAGACATTCACAAGACTACCTGCTGTACTAATGTTGATGTTCATATTTTGTTGTTCTTACCACCATTTATCTCTAATGCCCTGTAAATCTTCATACTGCTCCTTGGCACATTAATCAGTTTAAAACACTAAGGCACATTTTATTTAGGTGCCACTTAGCCACGCTGCTGTTATTTAGCACTCCCATACTTCATACATTGTACTCACCAGGTCTCTGAATTTTCTCTCTTCTGTTTGCATCTGTCACTTGCCTATGTACGAACACATTATTTAAGTACCAGAGCTGTTGCCTTGCCAGTCCCTGATACAAAACTAGTGCAAGTAGAGATAGAATTATTTTGGCAAAGGTTGCGTGTGTTGGTGTTACTTGGATGTGTGAAAGCAGATTCCTTTTATCTTATTTGTAGGTCACTTATGCCATCAGTGGTGTAAATTCTGCAGTCCTTTATGCAATAATTTTGTGGCCCTTCATATCGAAAAGCAGACTATGACAAAATGTTCTTTGTCACTGTCTGTAGAGACATTTGTGTTTTCAACTCTTAATGTAATGGAAAGTTTGTTAACATGGTGTATTTTTCATCATTGCTCATTATACTAAAGTTCATGCATTCATGAGAAAATTCTTCCCTAGCAACTCCTTGGTTTTGCTCCAACTCATTCTTTGGTCTCTCATTTTCATTAAGGCTATGTGGCAGATAATGAGACTTTGCCATAGTTCCTTCTTTCAGGGATTTATTTGGTTAGCTGAAGTACCACAATAGTTTTCTAGAAAATCTTTTTTTTTTTTTTTTTTTTTAATTAAAAAATGGCTTATGTAATGGCCATCTTAGTGTGATTCAGAGATTTGTGTACAGGGCCTGATCAATCCTTGACTATAATGCACATAAGGCTAGTTGAGGGCAGAAGGGTCCACTAATTAACTCTGGCCGAGGAGGAGGATTTTCTTAACAGTATTCTTTGTTGAACTGATAAAAATAGAGCAATTTCTGGTACTCTGGTAGGCTTCAGCATACACATTCCCACCCGACACTGAGGATATTTCACTCTCCCCTCCTTGGCCTCTCTGCTGAAGTTTGTAAGAGTACTAGACAACACTGAAATTATCCTGGAAACTGCGACTCTCCCTTTGGTTTGATAAGCCCGACCTCAGTATCTCAGTTTTGTTTTACATCCGGTTTTGAGTGAAGCTGGGGGCCGTGGGACATCGAAACGCTTTTAAACGTAACTCATCTGCAGTATTCACTTGCTGTTGTTGTCTCGATCTCCCTCGAGGAGGCAACTTTACAGAAGATGGTTTCCTCTATTGCTCTGTCTCCCGAAGTATCTGTGCTCTTAATTCAGCACTTTCTCCTCTGTAATTTTCTTACAGTGCGCATGTTACTCTCCCAGCATCTCTCTGCTGGGTCCCCCTTTCCTGCTGCAGTGCTGCCCCCCCCCCCCCCCCCCCCCCCTCCTCCCCGGGGCGGGGGGGGGGGCCCCGCCGGAGGGGCTCGGACCGACCGCCGGATCCCACCGCTCCCCCGGGAGCCCCGCCTCGGTGCGGGAGGGCGCGGGAGCCGCCCCCGGCGCCGCCGCCGGACCCTTCCCCGGGGCGGGGGCGGGATGCTCGGGGTGCGCTGCGGCCTTTTCCCTCCGCGCCGGCTCCTCCCCTTCAAGTACCCGGGGCGGGGCTGCGCGTGCTGCAGGAACCTGCCCTTTAAGAGCCGCCTCCCGCTGCCGCCACGGCCCGAGCCGCCGCCCGAGCCCGCCCGGCGCCGCCATGGTCTCCTGGATCATCTCCCGCCTCGTGGTGTGAGTGCGGCCCGCAGGGATGTGCGGGCCGCCGCGCAAGGCCCTTCCCCGTCGGGGGAGCCCGGCGGTGCCCCGGGGGGGGACGCGGCCGTCGGCCGGAGCGGGGCTGCAGCGGTGCCGCCGGTTCCGTCCCGCGGGACCCTGTGACGGGGGGGGGGCGGTGGCTGCGGCCGCGTCCCGGCAGATCCGCGCAGGCTGCCGCGGTCCGAGCGCGGCCGGCGGCCCAAGGGCGGTGCCGCGGGGGGGGGGGGTGGGGTGGGGGGGGCGGCCAGGCCCGGCCCCGCCTGGGGAGGGCACGGGGGACCGGCGTCCTGGCGGGGAGCTCGCCGCGGCGGGCAGCGCGGGATGCTGCGGAGCGCTGAGGCGTCTGTTCTCCTCGCAGGCTGATCTTCGGCACCCTCTACCCCGCGTACTCCTCCTACAAGGCCGTGAAGACGAAAAACGTCAAGGAATATGTGAGTACGGGCTCGCCGTGCCGGTGCAGGGCCCGCCCGGTCCCTCGCGGCCTGACCCCGAAGGCGAGGGCTGTCCGCCTCCGAAGGGGCGTCGGGGCAGCCGGGCCGCCAGAGCAGCAGCCCCGACAGCCCCTGGATAAGTTACCGAGGAAGGGTGCTTACTAAAACGGGAGTTTTCAAACCGTAAATGTAGGCTGTTTTTTCTCAGGAGATGCTGAGTGAGGAAGGGAAAGCAGGAGAAACACTTGCAGTCTGGAAGCATCTGAAAGTCCAGGACAAGTTCTTTCCTCTAACTTAATCCTTACTCTGTATCCTTTTAGTGCTTTTTCAGTACTATTGTTTCCTTCCAAAAGGCTGAGTAATCTTGCTTGGTTTGCATCTTTCTATCAACCTTGCTTGTGATCAGTGTTTTCTGTTGGTCAAGACTTTATCCTCCTTTTCTGGAATTGTTTCCCTGTCTCTGTCTACACCATTGTTACAATTACTTTATTTAAAGCATCAGATGCTTTTTAGTGATGTGACGTGTTGTCTTCTTACAGAAGGAGTATTCTAATTTGATTAGTGTAGACAAGGGCTACTTGGCTTATGGGCGGGAAAAGTTTCCAATTATCTAGAGCCAGGAATAACCTGATGGAGAGGAGAGGTGACGTGAATGAATAGGGTATACATTTTGTCAATATTGCTTTGTGATACAGTCTGAGACTCTTCAGCAGGCTCCATTTGCTCCTTACAGAATGACACATCAACAATAAATATTTCAGGATATAGTCCTTTTTTGTCTCACGCTGCTTCAGTCCTCTAGAATTGCCTAGACTTTTCCAATGTGTTGGCTTAAAATTCAGCCCACTGGATTTTGAAGGAGGTGCTAGCTGAGGTGAGAGTCTCACTCATAGTGGACATCTTACATGCCACAACATCTGGCTGAGGTGTGCAGGTTTGGTTTGGTTTGTTGTTTTGTTTTGGTTTGGTTTTTTTAACACTGGTCTCAGCAGAGAAATCAAGATGTGAATGTTTAGGAGGCACTGATATCTGATACAGTGTTTTGAGTGAGTATTAGAGTTATAGTCAGAAATGCGATGAGCCTTACTGAACTTCGAAGTAGTCACATTAGAAACTGAAAAGAAAGCATGGAAGAAACTGACTGGAAAATGAGTAACGTAACCCCCATTTTTAAAAAGGGAAATGAAGACCCAGGGAACTACAGGCCAGTCAGTCTCACCTCTGTGCCTGGCAAGATCATGGAGCGGATTCTCCTGGAAAATATGCTAGGGCGCATGGAAAATAATTAGGTGATTGGTGACAGCCTGACTAATTTGGTGGCCTTCTACAATGGAGTTACAGTGCCGGTGAATAAGGGAAGAGCAACTGACACCATCTGCCTGGACACTGTCGCACATTACATCCTTGTCTCTAAATTGGAGAGACATGGGTGTGATGGATGGACCACTCGGTGGATAAGGAATTGGCTCTATGGTTGCACTCAGAGAATTCTGGTCAACGGCTTGATGTCTGAGTGGAAAACAGAGGCAAGTGGTGTTCCTCAGGAGTTCAGATTGGGACCTGTGCTGTTTAACACTTTTGTTGGAGACATGGACAGTGGGATTGAGCGCGCCCTCAGCACGTTTGCATGGCACCAAGCTGTGTGGTGCAGTCGATACGCTGGAGGGAAAGAATGACATTCAGAGAGACCTTGACAGGAGAGACTGTGCAAACCTCATGAAATTCAACAAGGCCAAGTGCAAGGTCCTTCCCATGGGTCGGGGCTATCCCGAGCACAAATACAGGCTGGCTGAGGAGTGGATTGGGAACAGCCCTGCGGAGGACTTGGGGGTGTTGGTGGATGGAAAATTGACTATGAGCCAGCAGTGTGCGCTCACAGCCCAGAAAGCCAACCTATGTCCTGGGCTGCATCAAGACAAGTGTGGGCTGCAGGTCGAGGGGAGGGGATTCTCCCCCTCTGCTCCGCTCTGGGGAGACCCCCCTGCAGTGCTGGGGCCAGCTCGGGGGCCCCGGACAGCAGAAGGACACGGAGCTGCTCGAGCGGGGCCAGAGGAGGCCATGAAGATGCTCGGGGGGCTGGAGCAGCTCCCCTGGGAGGCCGGGCTGAGAGAGTTGGGGGGGTTCAGCCTGGAGAAGAGAAGGCTCCGGGGAGACCTTTGAGCGGCCTCCCAGAGCTTAAAGGGGGGACAGGAAAGGTGGGGAGGGACTCTGGATCAGGGGTGTGGGGCGTAATGTTTTTAAACTGAAAGAGGATAGATTGAGATTAGATATAAGAAATAAATTCTTTACTGTGAGGTTGTTGAGGTGCTGGCCCGGGGTGCCCAGAGCAGCTGTGGCTGCCCCCTCCCTGGAAGGGTTCAAGGCCAGGTTGGACGGGGCTGGGAGCCCCCTGGGCTGGGGGAAGATGTCCCTGCCTATGGCAGGGGGGTTGGAACTCAATGATCTTTAAAGGTCCTTTCCAACCCAAACCATTCTTTGATGCTATGAAACTCTGAATAATTGCATGATCCTGTGACTTCATAGTTATCTTTGAAGTTATGTATGAAGTAGTATCATATTTTTATTGTCTTCTCTGGCCTTCCTCTTCTCTTTCCTTCCAATTACCTATGACCTTAATTTGCTGCATGTAATTCATATTTTTTACCCAGAATTTTATTCTGGCTCATGAGTGTCTGTCTCAGAATGATTGTGTTCCAGTTACAGAATCTGTGTTAAAGTTAACACAGACTCAGATTTCAGAGTTTTAAATTGTTTTGTTGAGAATTTAAGGGGGGAAAAAACACCTCAGTTTTTAAACAGCCTATAGCATGCTTGTTCTGGAGCTCAAAGACCTAGTAAATATGGAGCCTTTGAATTTTTAAGCAACCTTTACAGTAAAAACCTGCTTATTTTTGGTGGGTAGGTTAGCTGTTGAGGTACATAAATGCTGTGTTTCCTTGCAGAATGTGAAAATTGTCTTGATCTGATTTTCTTTTGGTAGATGTACCTAAATTGCTGTAAAACTTCCCCAATCTGATGGTGAAAAAGATACAAGATATATTATTTGAGTATCATAAAGTTGTCTTAACAATAATATCAACTAGTCACCTGGTTGTAAGCCTCACTAGGGCTGATGTGGAAAACTATGGTATTCATTTTCGGGTTTTGCTTAATGCTTCATTGATAAAGTTTTCTTGAAGTAGATAGTTCTGGATCGCTGTAGCAGAAAATTTTCTCATTTTTATTTTCAGTGCAAGCACTGAAGTTGGTTCAAGAAAATGTACTTGAACTGCTAAAACTGATCTTATATATGTTATTTCTCCTTGAGAGGACTATATCAGAAATAAGCATTTAGATGTTGGACTACCATCTACCTAATTCACTGATATTTGGAGGGCTTCTTCCTGATCAACATAAGTGGAAAGACAGGGGGGAAATCAATTTTGTTAAATACAGGAAAGGGGGACAATATCTGTTCAAACTGTTCTTCATGTGAAAAGTCAGTGGAAAACTTGAATGCTGTGCTACACGTTTTCCAAACCACTGAATTTATTTAGGTTCTTGGTGCAAGTTGAGGAGACTATGTATGTGCAATTAGCTGAAGTTGGTGGTCATCAGCTTGAACAGCAAAGACCTGACTCCTTTTTAATGGATTGAAAAAAAAAAAAAGTAGCCTGGTTCCACCCTCAGTTTCTGAAGGTGTTTGTAATCTGTGGATTATCTGTGGATCACAAACATTTTAAGAAGAAAGATTAGTGAATCTTCCCCTCTGCTTTCTGCTCTTCTAATTTCTGGTCACTTGCACTTCAGGGGCTTTGGATCCTTTTCATTTATTTAAGAGATATATTTGGTTTTGTCTTTGACTGTAGAACATAGAGTAAAGAAGGGCGGCAGAAGACAAGAGGGCAAGAAACCTATGTCCAGTAGCAAAGGTGTGAACACACAGTTTATTTAAACAGTAACAAAACAATGTTTTTCTGTTCTCAGTTCCTCTTCTAATATCCCTGAGCATTCTGTTAGCAGAGTGAAAAAGTCTAATGAGCACTGAGTTTATGGTTTCATCAGGCTGTCTACAGTGGCTGCTCCTGAGTGGCATGAGCCATATGTAACCACAATAGTTTTCACTAAGAAAAAGCACATACTGTAAGTTCATTACTTTGTATTTAATGACATCTAGTGACAAAATGTCAACTGGAGATCAGTCAGTATAGATCCCTTTCTGAATTCCTTAATCAACTAATACTTAATCCCCTGGATAGAAAAGCATCTTCTGCACATTTCATCATCTTATTTGCAACCTTTTCCAGATTTTTCATGAACATGAGCAGCACAGATCTCAGCACTGATTCCTGTGAGATTCCACTGGTAACTTTCCTCATTGTAAAAAATGGCCATTTATTTTTATCCTTTGTTTCCTCTCTTTTGACCAATTTTTAATCGTCAAGAGTCCTTTCCTTTTTATCCTTGACAATTTGGTTTCTTTGAGTGTTTATTTAGGCCTGTTGGAAACTTTGTAGAAACTCCATACACCCTGCCTGTAAGGGAAGCACTATAGCAAGATCTTACGGAAGTCTTCTAAGAGTTCTGATACATTTGTGAGATTGGTTTTTTTCTGCAAAAAACATATTTCTCATTATGTTTTTTATATATATATATATATATGTATATGCTAATTACTTGTATTATTATTGCCTTAATTTTGCCTAATACTTAAGATTTACTGGTATGTAGCTTCTCTGAAATTTCTTGCCCATTGGGATCCCTGTTTGCTGCCTTTGATTTGTCATTATTCACGCACTTTTTCATATGAGAGCCGATTTATGTTGCTACATTGAAGAGTTAAGCATTCATTTCAAAGAGTTGCTTTAGAAGTCAAATAGATGACACCTGGTAGTGGTCCTGTCCAAACTGATGATACAAGGAAAAGGAAAACAAAACCAAAAACACACACACAAAAACAAAAACAAAAAAAAAAAAACAACAACCATCAAACAAAACACAAACCCCAAAAAACACCCACAGCCAGGAGAAAGCCATAAAATACAAGTTTTTTCTACTTTCTATTGTGGAAGAAAATTGCACAATAAAGTGGAAATTATTTGGGATACTAACCACTATCTTCAAAACCATCCACTATGTTGGAGCAGTGGAGGCATCATGATTTTATTGGGTTTTTTAGAAACTTTTGGAGGGCCTTTCAGGAACAGATCACTACGTTTTCCAACAAGTGCAAGTTTGGGGAGGTACCTGCTTTTATAACATCATTTGCTGTACACAGACTGTCACTAAACTGTTCATGTAATTTTAATATCTGGATTAATTTGTGGATTTAATATGTGGAATTTCCTTGATTCAGTTTAGTTCTCTTTTCCCATTCTCTCTCTTTGTTTCCATTTATCTGCTACTTAAATTTCCTTTTACTTCTTAACAGCATAGAAAACTGGCAATTTCCCTTATAATCAGCTCTTCTGCTATAGGAAATTTTTGGGTAGCAGTTTTTATAATTTAGCTGGTTCTTCTTTAGGAATAATTGGCCTGTAGCTGAGAGACTTTTTACTAAAACAGCAGAGTGTGAGTGTGTGTCTTAAGGGGGAATTATTTTATGCTTGTTTTGAAAGAAATACCTGCTGCTCCGGAGAAAAGTGGGAGGAAGTAGGGAGATACATGATAGGTATACAGATGGGCCATAATAGCACAAAGTACACTTCATAAACTGTACTCAGGACCTTAAACAAGAAGATAAGGTTCATGCGGCATGTTCTTTGCTTTCTTACCTCTCTTATTGAGCCTTTATTTAAAAAGAAAATATAAATGCTCACGTAATTTCTGGGAGTAATGATTAAGGCAAAGGATGCTTATTAATAAGGTAGAGCAAAATATGGTATCTGTTGGCTTGTTGTTTTTTTTTTTTTTTTTTTTTCTTCCTTAGAAAAAACTTTAAATCAAGAAAATATAGGGCTACAGTTGAAACTAAACTTTTGCATATGTGTGTGTATGTATGTATTTGTTACAATAATCTTGATGTATGAAAGTATAACTTGTTAGTGAACTACTTACTCTTTTTAGATAGCTTATTTGGGACTTTTAACACTGTTGCATCATGATATTGCTACAAGGGCATGCATTCATCAGTGTATCTGTATGCATTTATCTATTTAGAGCACATTAATACTACATGTTTTCCCAAACTATAATGTACCATTTGATCTGTGACCCTTTCCATTATATGCCTTCTTGTTGGTGAATTCATCTTAATGTGTGGAGATGATGAGTCATTTTTACTGAGAAGACATTTTGCTTTTTTCTGGGTTATGATGGATGTTTATAGAGTGACTGCTCTTTCTTTTGCAGGTGAAGTGGATGATGTACTGGATTGTGTTTGCCTTTTTCACCACTGCAGAAACACTCACAGACATTGTTCTTTCCTGGTGAGGCATGGCTTTTTTTTTGGTTGGTTTGTTTTGTTTTTGTTTTTGTTTTTTTTAAATAAGAGTAGTGTTGGGATGCTAAGAATGGACTGACTCTCCTTTAGGGGTTTGCAATCCCTGTGAAGAGTCTGCAGATTTGTAGATATTGTGGGTAGTCACTGCTGTCTTAGCTGCTTCATCTGTTGTACTTGTAAACAGTTAGGATAATTGTTTTTGTAGGAGTATTTGTAGGAGGATCTTTGTCCATTCATAACATAAAATACTTTTGAGAAGCTGTTAATGTGAACTGGTGAAGTTTGAGAAATGGTCTAAAAGACACTTAAAAAAAAATGATGGTAGAAGGAAGCGATCTCTTTTGCTTTGCAAGCCTGTTGCATGCAGGAGCAGATCAGATGAATGTCTGTGCTCTGAATGGTGTTCTGGTCGATGAAATTCTCTTCCACTAGTGGGGGTAGGGTGGAGTGGAGTTTGGGGAAACAGGTTCTTAATCCTTTTAGTGCTGTGTGTCATGGTCGGCAATATGGAGGCCTCCAAAAATGACAAATCATTGTTACATGTCTTCAATGGAACCTTTGGAACAGGATATCTTCAGTTTCTTCATTGCTTTAGTGCATGCATCTCTGAAAGAATACTAGTCAAGAGTTGCATCTTTTTTAAAAAATCATGAAATGCCTATGTGTGCCCTACAAAAATGCTCAGCAGTTTTGTCTGTTTCTGCATTAACTTTGAAAATCAAAGATCTAAAAAATACGAGAGCTTGTTCACATACTTAAAATGGACCACTGAAAACAGAAGTCTCTTACTACTAAAAGAGACAGTAGAAAGTTTGCATACACTTGTTTCAATCTCTGCTACTACATCTTCGAAGAGACTTTACTGGGTAAGGGCTAGAGATGAAAGACTTATATATGCTGCCTGTTCTTTTTCATTTACACTGATCCTCCTTTTGTGTCTTATCTGAGGAGTACCTACTGGAAGTTTCAGGAACTGAGCCATCAGCCTTATCAGGAACTTGAGATTTATTGAGATGTGTAGTTGAAAACTTTGGAAAATGAGATAGAAACTAATGTAATATTAACATCCAGTGGATACTCACTGAACAAACTTCAGAATTATGAGAGTAGATATCAGATTGTAATTTGGTGTGTTTGCAGGGCTGAGAGATGCCCTGTTTATGGAGTTTTCATGGCTATGGATGAAAGACTAAATGAGACTCGAAGAAGGTATGTCCTAGGATTCCAAAGAGGGTTCTGCTATTTTGACCTGATATATCAATTCTTTTGTTTCTGAGCCTTTACCTTGCCTTTGCTCTTTCTGCCTATGCTGCTCTGTACCAGTTATCTTCGTCTGTCTCTGTGCTGGTCTTGATTCTGGTTCTCCATCTTTCTCTCTCTCGTTCTCTCTCTCTTTCTCTTTTGTTTGTTTTTTTTTTTTCTTCCCTCTTTCTCTCAGGTTTCCCTTTTATTTCGAGCTGAAAATCGCATTTGTGATTTGGCTGCTCTCCCCTTACACCAAGGGCTCCAGTGTCCTCTACAGGAAGTTTGTGCACCCAACGCTCTCCAATAAGGAGAAGGTACTCACTTGTTAGAAGATACTGACCTGTCTGGGAGCTGACTGACTTTTGATTCAGTTATGCCACAATAAAAACTGAAATGTGTGAATCATGCTTGTGCTGACATTAATAGACGTAGAATGATTCTGTCTCTGACAACAATGTCATACTGCAGCTTACTGAAGATTATAATGTAGCCCAGTAGTTTGCCTAATGCTTAGAAAGCACATTTGGCTAACCCAGTGTCATGAGCCCTTATAGTCACTGTTAGTGGTTAAGCTCTTTGAATCACGATAGGAGCAGTGTGCTCTGTAGCCATGCTGTTTTTTCACACTGTCTGTATAAGCAACTGCTTTGTTTCCATTGTTACAATTTGGAAATAGCATACATTAAGCAAAAGTTGCATTTGCAAACTTTCTGTAAGTAGCAGAGAAACTGCAGTTGTGTGATCAATGACAGCTGATGCTGGTAGCCTGGAAAAAAAAAAAGCATCCAGATGAACTTTGTGTTTTTAAGGGTGATGGTGGGGAGGCTTTGATCATGTTTGTAATGAGGAACTAAATGCCATGTTCCACATTGCCTTCCTAGGAAATTGATGAATACCTTACTCAGGCTCGTGACAAGAGCTATGAAACCATGATGCGAGTTGGCAAGAGAGGGTTAAACCTTGCTGCTAATGCAGCAGTTACTGCAGCTGCAAAGGTAATGCAACTTCTTCTGTAACATTCAGGAGTTCCCGAACAGTTTAGTTATGTGTGGCAGAAGTTAATGCTGTGGATCTCTTAGGGGTGCTGGTACTTGGCACCAGTCTACATTTCCTTTACTCCAGTTTGCCTTGCAGTTAATCCCATTCTTTGATTTATGAAAAGTGGAGGGAGAGTGGAATGGATTTTGCTTTAACCTCTTCCCTCTTGGTCTTGGGAGCTTACTTTTCTTTTTGCCTTCTGTTTTTTTTTTTTTTTTTTTCAGAGTACCCTAGTCAGGAATAGTCCACATTTTCTCCTCTTCTGAATGATCCCATGTGACATGATCTTAGTGAAAGCAAAGTGCCCTTGACCCTATTTATTTTGTTCTCTTAGGGCCAGGGAGTTTTGTCTGAAAAGCTGCGAAGTTTCAGCATGCAGGATCTCACTCTGATCCGGGATGAAGATACTGTGCATATGCGAAGCCATGAGCCACAGCTGCACCCCTCTGGTGGGAGTCTTCTTGAAACCATTGAGGATTCAGGTACAGAACACCTCTGCTGGGCCACTGTTTGAGGCCTCATGTGGTGAGCCAGGAGGGGAGGAGGTTTTCCCTGGACTTTGCATGCATTGAGTCTCAGAAGGACTGTGAGATTCCAAATTATTTGGGAGAAGTTATGCTGTCTTCCGTAGGCCCTTCCCATCTACTAACACATCTTTGTACTTTTTGGATTATCCTTCTTAAGGATTGCTGAGATCTCCCTTTCATGTGGGTACTTCAGGATGGGCTATTTTAGACTTCATGTGATTTTTCAGAAGTATTTGCTAAAACTTTCTTATTCCTTAGCTTCCTGTTACTCTTCAGGAGAGGAGAGCAGTGTGGCACAGAGGTCTAATGGAACCCCATCAGAGACTAGAACAGACCCATCAGATGAAGATGGAGGAGACAAACTTCCGAAACGTACCCAGAGTCTCAAAACTCCTAAGAAGATGCTGAAAACTGAGGTGAGCTGGTGTGTAAATTATTTCCAGCACAGACATTGATTTTGTGAGCTTTGTTGAAAGGCTTCGGCTTCATAGTCACAGTGCATTTTAGAGCTGTTTGGATAAACTTTGTTGGACTAAGTCTTCGCTAGTTGAGTCCTACATCAGAAAAGTTGCTGTCTACTTGCTGTATTAGTTTCTAGCTTTTGAATTCTTGTCATACCTGTGAGCCTCTGTCGTAAGCCAGGACCCAGCCTTGCTTTCATTCTGGTTTTGTGTTGAAGAGTGGGGCATTAGATATTTTTTTTAACAAGTTTTGTTGACTCTATCCTCTCCCCTGTCTGCAACAGTATGAATATATAATACAATACTACTGTGACATTTATCCCTGGGACAGCCACTTTCTCCTCATCTAAAATGCAATGGTTCTATACCTTCTCAGGCCTTCCTGGACTTCTGCATGTTATATACGGGGAAAATGTAATTTCCCCCTCCACACCATTCCACTTCCCCCCCTTATTCCCTCCCCAGCCCAGGGTTTTGTCTCGAAGTTTGGATAACTAGACATTGTCGAGCTGTCCCCTCCATATGTCCATGTGATCCAAGATATTTACAGCCATTCAGATGGGACATGAGTTGTCTGTATTCTTATTAAAACAAACCATACATGAAAATAAATGCAATTGTGTCCAAGAGCCGTTTTAGCTTTAACAATTTTTTTGTTCAGCTGTTGGTGTGTTTTGTATAACATGCTTTTTTGAGATGCTGCTTTCCAAGTTTTGACTTTTACTTGAGCATTCCTTGTGGTTTGATTTATAGCTAATAAAATGCTTCTCCCTTTTTGTGAAGTTGGGATCCTATTTACCTGATTCAACTCAGACTCCTATTTTTGTTTTTCATTTTTACTTATGATAAAGAGTGCTATATGACTGGCTCACATTGTCAAACTTTTCAAGCTAGATATTAAATAATTTTGGGGAAAGTAATTGCTTAGAGCATTTTAAGTCGTACTGTTAACCTGGTTTTACGGTGTACAGGATGCCTTTGCATGTAATTAAGTATTCTTTGTAATGGAATCAGAGAATAGCTGAGTTTGGAGGGGACCTCTGAAGGTCATCTGATCCAACCCCACTGCTGAAGCAAGGCCATCTAGATCTGGTTTCAGTGGCTTTAGAGTATCTCCAGGGATGGTCATGTATGTCTAAATATGCACTTAAGATCAGCCTGGATCATTTTTAAATTTCCAAGGCTTACATCTGAGTTGACCCCACTGCTTTCTTCTCTAGTATATTAGACAGGAGCAGGGAAACAAGAGGAACAAAATTTGGTTCCAAACTTCCAAGTGAGGAATTTTTAAAGTGAAATCGTGAAAAGACAGTAACAACTTCTCTGTGCTGTTTATTGTGAATACAGAAATCCAATAAAGACCTTTGCAGGCATATTGCATTTTATGTTCCGTCTGTTTGGATCTTCAGCTTAAATGTAGGAATTGTAGGAGGTCTTTGAGATCTCCAAGATTGCCTGGAAGGGCGGAATGCATCGTAGATCATAAATACAATCTTTTTGCCAATTTCTAGAATGAAAAATACTGGAATAAAGTGTGCAAAGTTGAAGATGTTTCTATATCTTTCAGATAACAGCATTTGGGATAGCAGTCAAGAAGCATAAAAGTTACAGCAGTGAAATGTTATGTGAATGTTACCAGTTAGAAATATTGCTATATCTAATCTTTTATCGAGACAATTGTCTTCAGTTTTATCGCACTTGTGTTTTAGAATGTTTTCCTCTCCCGGTTGCTATTTGATGGATATGCTCAGAGTGACTTGTTTACTAACCAAAAACAAATGGAATGGATAAGTAGCTTTTTTGAAACAGTGGATGGCATGAATTAGGGTCATCGTGTTGTAGTTGTTTTGTCCTATTTTCACTCTGCATTCCTGTATCTTTCTGTTAGACATTTAGGTGTTAAACTAACCTAAGATGCTTCTTTTTCTTTCTCCTCAGCTTCCAGTAAGAAGTGTGAAAGCCCGCCCTAAGAAGAAAGCTGCAGGCTCTCTTGCTTCTGGCGAGTCATCCTAAGGAGACCTTCCCCTCCCCAGCACCTGTCTCTGTCCTGGGATTTGCCTATCACTTTTGAGGGGAAACTCCCCAAAGGAAGAGAGCTGAGATTCATGTACATAACAGATACTGCTTTGTAGAGCTCATTCCAAAACAAGGGGGAGGCTGGGATTCAGAAAATGGAGTAGAGGATACACATCCTCAGGAATCTTCTCCTTTTCATCTCTCTGGAGGGAACGCTGATATGTCTGTACATAGCCTGTTGCTTTGGAATTCCCACTATATAACCCTAGTTGGGGAGAATCTTTGCTGGAAGAACTGACTAGGGTTAGAGACATCCATTGCACAGAAGCTGGAAAACTATTAGACACTGGAGTTCCACGGGGGTGGGTGGCTCCCTAAAATGTATTATCTTGCTCTGGGTATTCTTCTGCAGCTGTGTGTTGTTAAGAATTGCCCACCATGATTCATCCTCCTTAGGAATGGACTGTACCTGTCATGTCCATCCCCTTTGAGAAGGTAACTGAAATGATGTATGATGAGTGCTTTTGAACATAAAGGACTAGCTCATGGGAGGAGTATGCTAGATTCCCATTACTAGTACTGGATGTTGAAGAGATTGGGTTTTATTTATTTTTTTCCGGAAGGTGAAGGAAGGTAATTGAAAAACTGAGTGTGATGGAGTAGGCACAGGTATCTGTAAGAGTTAACGATTGAAAAGGGAAGTTGAACATCCGTAAGATTTTGGCTCTCTTTGAAGCTGCTTGAATTTTCTGTCAGGTTCTCTTGTTCACTTTGATTCCTGTGAGAGCATCAGAGTGAGGTGAGTCCCATGCAGTGGGAAAAGTTGGCAGGGAGGCTGTTGCTTTGCCATTTAGTGGTTGAACTCCATGTCATCCTGATGCTTGTTACTATAGACAAATTCTTTCATTCTAGCAGATGACTGGGGAAAATCTGGCTCAGTATAGTCTGCAGGCATGCTTGAGAATTTCAAAAGTCCTTATCTCAGCTCTAGGAGGTCCAGTCCTCAGGGCATGAGAACTGATAAATAGCTGATATATGAATTTCACTAATTCCAAGATTCCATTTATGGGTGATAAAAAGCAGGGAGTAGGGCACAATACTGTGATTAATCAGTCCTCTATCTTACTGCAGCCCTTGCACAGATTTTCTGTCTAACCATGCTCCGTGTTCATTAGTGTTCTGAGACTTGAGCAATATGTAACACTTGAGACAGAACCATATTAAATGTAGACTATATATTGTGGGAGTGAAATTGCAGTACTGCAGAAAAAATTTGCATCATGCCAAGCCATACCGGATTCTAATCTGTTGAACATGGTTAAGGGGAGATCCCCTGTACACATCAACAGAGTCAGTGGGAATTTATGAGATGAGTAGGGTTCCTGTTATTGAAACCTATAATGGGGGAGCACCATTATAGACATGGTTGTCTGAATGAATACTGGATGGTCTTAATCTTTATTGAAACTAGTTAGCAAAGGGACCTCGCTCCTCTTTCCCTACTGAAGACCATTCTTGGCTCTAGGTACAGAAATTTGTGTTTGCCCAGTATTTTGCTGTGGACAGTGCATAGGAGCACTTCTGCAAGTAATGTTCCACAAGTACTTCTGTCCTAAAGAATAACCCTTCAAAAGTTTGTAAAGTTGAAGGTTAGGACTGAATTTTTTCTTGTTTCCCATTGTCTTGGTGGCAAATTGTTATGAATTGACTGGTTATTTTAGGAAACCACTTAGCAAACACTGCATATGTGTCTCATGAAGCACGATCTCCTGAAGCAGGAATTCTTTGTGTTTCCAAAGGAAATTCCTCTCTTCTGTATGAGGGATAAAAATCTTTACTGATTATGTGAAAGATTCAGTTGTGAGGAATTGCTGTCCTAGATTTTACTGTACAGAACAACATGGAACCATTATTCTCTACATACCAAGTATCTCTATGACCACATTTCTTGAAAATCGTTTTTCTTTAACTAAAAAATTCCATAGCAAATTATTTATGTAAATCATTGTGAGGGCCTTGATTTGGAAGCCAAGGATTAGTTAGTCTCCTCTTAGGCTGACCTTCGTGCCCTTTCCTTGCACATGCATTGTGATAGTCTCGGATTACTCAGTTTTCACACAGCGACTTTACAGGATGTTTTCTAGAATCAGTTCATTTGTAGTAACTCTTCTTGCTTTGAATCATGGGAAGAATTTCTGAAGACTCAGTTTTGGCATATGGATTTACCTTTGTCTTCCTGAGATAGGTCCTGTGCTGAATATCTTTCACTTAGTGTTGATGCTTGATGTCATTGGTCTGTAAGTACAGGTCAGTCTTACTCTGACTTTTGTTGTGCAGGGGAATTAAATGACTTGTGATTGTGAGGGAGAGTCTGGAGTAGAGTCAGGGACTTTTATCTAGTGTACGATACGAAGCTGATGATGTCTAGCAGCAGAACTTACCCAGAGCAAGAACAATGTCTTAGTGTAGACACTATTTTCTTCTTCCAGTACAAATATGACTGCTAGATTGTGCTCTGCTTGATCAAAACCTCTGCAGATCTGCCACCACCCACGTGACCTCTTAGTGAGTTTCTAGATGTAGTTCTGCATTGGATGGCATGGTCTTGCATAGAAATTCTCTTGTTAATGAGAACGCTGAATGTGCTGTTTTGATAAAATGCTTTTATCAGCTGTTGTTCAGTGTTTTCAGCAGGAAATGCTGGAATGTAGTTTCTCTTCAGTATCATCTGTGGGCTTCATTGTACAATTAAGCAAATGGTTAAATCTTCACCTAGCAGTAGAACCCATTGTGTTCAGTAAGTGTTTATACCCCTTCCCTAATACATCTGGGCACAAAGAGAAGCACAGTAAGAGAAGGTGATACCTGAAGTTGCGTAGGATGGGGCATAGGGGGTGGTATGGGTGTGTCAAACTGTGTGCCTAAAAAGTATCCTGAAATACCTGTAGCATGAGATACAAAGTGAAGCCATGACTGCCTTTTGGAAAGAAATGTTGCACCTCCACGCTGTACGAGCAATTATGAGCCGGTGTTCTGCTTTTTTAAAAGGAAATAGTGAAATGTGGTTTCCCTTCTGAGAAACTTAATGATTTGCTGCATAAAAGGGAAAACTGTTTTCTTGCTTGGCAGTATCCTCCATGATGGGTAAGAAATAGGAAAATATAGGGGAAACTGCTATCAGGTTTTAAAACTTACACTTCAGCTAAACATCTTAATTTCTTACTGTTCTTTATCAAGTTTCTGGTTCTCCAGCCTTATGTTTCCAGTCTGGCGGACTGATTTCTTTTAAACTAGATTTTAACTTCCTTGGTAGGTAGAGGGTGTATTGGAGAGAGGGATGCTGGTGTTCTTAAAATGCAAAGCTTGTGCTGGGGAAGCTACACCTTCCCACATTTTAGTGAATTGAGTTCCACTTATTGTCCTTTTGCAGTGCTGGGCTTTCTTTTTCATATATCCCTCTTGAAAGTATGACTCTCCCACAATATACGGCCAAGTCATTTCTGCCTTGAAAAGCAAGATTTCTAGAGAACCCCAACTTTCCAGAAATTGTTATTTATTCTTTGCCATCTTAATCAGCAGAAAATATAGTGCCTTAGGAGGAGAATGGGATAACTATGGAGTACTCTGCTGGTTCTTTGATCTGCACATAGCATTGTGTCAAGGAGGCTTACATGTTAACTGTGAAGTGTCATTGTATGCTTGAGATCATCTGTTGAATTAAGCTGAGTTTTCCTATCTGTCTTCCAAACTTGCATATAATGCTGGAAAGTGTGACTTATGCCTAAGAGAGAAATCTAGGCAAAAAACCCCAACTCTTATCCTTCTTTGTGATAGGGACACTGTATTGTGACATTACTCTGCTACTTGCTAGGGAGATGCTGAATGACATCTCTCTGGGTAACTGATCAGTACTATAGCTTTTCTTGCTTTACCTACTAAGAATTTGTAATGTGCCACCTGGCTGAAGCATCCTGTGGTGCTGCTTTCTGGGTTGTCCTGTAAAGTCAGATATGTAGAAAACCAGGAAAGTATTATGAAGCTAAATGAGCTCAGAGTCATTGGAGTTGGAAGATACCTCTGGAGGACATCTGGTTCAACCTCTCTGCTCAAGCAGGGCCACCTAGAGACAGTTGCCCAGGAGTTCCTGTGTGCTATTTGTGGTCTGGAGCCTACTGAATTTATTGTTCTAGGCTGGCATGTGCAGAAATGCATATGCTGTATGGGGATGTACTTTAGTGTTACTGAGGAGAATGAACTTCTGGTCACCTTTCATCTGGAATTTGGCACTATTACCAGACACTGTAAACATAACTCAGTCTTATGTTATTTATAGGTATTAAGCCTGGAGGCTTCAGAAGAGATCTTAAGAGGTGTGCAGAGTAACTTGTGAGGGCAATTGGTTTGAACAGTAAATGAAGGCAATAAACCTGCATAGCAGATAAGAACCTGTCTTGTGAGATGGAATTAGAGTGGAAAATGGGCTGTGTACACTACAGAGTTGTCCAGGAAATACTGCTGACTTCATGATCCTCAAGCAATACTTATACTCTGCGCTCTACAGACTAGAGCCTGATTTCTCTCTTACAGCACTTCTTTCTCTGTGTTCTACCTTTCTATGCTGGGCTTGAACTACATGCACTGAGATTCCTGAATCTTTCATCACTTCAGAACAATAAAATTAGAATTTTACCTCAACAGGCAGCTGATCTGCAGGGAGGACCAGATGATTATCAAGTATCTTGCATCACTTTGTAGTAGATATGTTATGCTGGCAAAGCACCAGCAGGGAGCTCCGGAGGATACATTCATCTGGGAAATTACTGCTTCCCACAAAGCCTACGTTTTTGGATGAACTGAATGCTGGACCGTGCTATGCTCATATACACAGCTATCTGTAGAACTGCAAAATTCAGTGTCAGAAATGCCAGTGCTCTATTTCTGATGAGAACTGAAATCAAAATAATAAGAAGTGAAAAGAAACTGGCAAATTGTTTTGGGTATTTTTCTCCAATTTTGTAGGTTCATTTAGGTCTTCTTTGTTGCTTCTTTGCATAAAACCTTTCTGTAAACCCCTTGCAAGCAAACCGTTACTTCCTTGCTGTTTCTCAGCTGCTATCCTTTAATGAACTAATTATGTTTCTTACGTTTTCTCTTACTAAGCAAGGGACTACTTCCACTTTGCTGACCGTGGAGATGTGAAAAATATTGTCTTTCAGAGCCGAAATTTAGCCTTTTTCCACTATTTAATCCTATGACCTAGAATCATACAGTGACTTGTACAACAAGGCCTAAGGCTGGATTCCCAGGTGGAATCTGGGCATCTATTGTCAATAGCATAGTTTGATGTATTTTCCTTTTTTTTGCAGTGGGTTCTGACTGAAATATGCTTACTGCAGACCCTTTGGACAAGAGCATTTTGTCTGCATTTAGCCAAATAATGTTAGAAGTGACATTTGTAGGAAGGATGCAAAAGTGAGTGAACTCTAAAGGATCAAGAGTTCGAGTCTTCTGTAATATATAACTGTCTGAGACTATGTACAAGATTTGTGGCAGCAGTAGAAATGCATTGTTATACTGACTTAGCAGAGATGGGGAATTCAATCATGTTTTTTTGCAGCAGGCTGGGAAAGAGAGTCAGGCTGGATGGTAAGCATATAAAATTTTTAAATACAATGGAACTAAGTTTTTACTATAAGTAATACTTAGTAACTTACCTAAAAGAAAGCAAGTTGAGAATTTTTGGTGACTTTATATAATTAGCAGGTAAATTGTCCTAATTGTCAAACCTAGTATTGAATACAAACCTTTTGTATTCATTCTTCTGCCTTTTTGGGAAATCACTGAGTTGATGGACTCTTCAGTTTTGACTTGTCTGTTAGATTATTTCTCAAAGGTTGGGAATATCACATAGAGATAAATGGAATTTTTATTTTGGCACATGACCATAATTTCATGCCTAAATTCAGGCATGCTGAGTTATGTATGAGACAGTGTTGGTTGAATTAAAGCCCAGTAAGAAACTGGAGAAGCTGAGACAGATCTAGCCAGGTAAAGATGACTGAAGGAACTTCCCTGAAGTGCAGAAATTAGAGACTGTAGCAGTGCTTGGTTTTGATTCAACATTTTCATGACAAAGTTCCTGTTAGCACAGTGCTGATCTACAGGTGGTAAAGCACAGGGGATTGTGAATTGCTTTTTGTCCACCAGAGGGTATAAGCATAACATACAAACACTAAAAATGAGAGAGCAGAGATTTGTCTGATAGCAGTTGAATGATGACAGGTTGAACGCCAGTATTTCCTATGGGTGAAAGTGAAGGTCCTGCTTAGGAAGGGATGGGGGGGGAGGGAGGGAAAAAACTGGGGCTCTAGTGGAGAAATACGAAGTAATACTGAAGTTAACTCCTGACTAAAAAGGCTATTTAAGCTTGCTGGGCTTGCTGAGACGATGGTGTTAGAGAATAACTGTCCTGAAATCTTTTTCTTGTCCATTCAAACAATTTTATAGCTGCAGGAAGCAGCTCTGTAAATGGCAGTGTTTGTGATTTATCCCCCCCTCTTTACAATTAACCAGTTTCTGTGTCTTTTTGTAATCAGTAGTGTTGCCCTAATTTGTACTCTGAATTTTGTAGTATTTCCTGGTAAGAATGAGTAGTTTCTTTCAATTGGATCTATACTCTATGAAAATAGAAGCAATTTTAATCTAAAAATACAGATGGATCTAATGGTTACTATGGTAATTTGTGACCATGGCAACAGAGATTTAGTATTCTGAAGAATATACAGGTTTTTGGTTTGTTTTTTTGGGGGGGGGGGGAGGGGAGGGAATGTTTTGGGGTTTTTTTTAGTCAAGAACCTAATTAACAGTGCAAGCATTTCAGGAAAGAACATTGACATTTTTATTTCTTAACCATGGAAGATCATATGGGTACAAGGGATTTTTACATTGTCTCACATAAGATTTTTATAGAAAAGCTGATGAAGTACAGACTGTATGAGCAGACAGTGAGGTGGATAAAAAACTGGCTGAATGGCCAGGGCCAGAGGGTGATGATCAGGCCCAGTAAGTCTTAATTAGAGGCCAGCAGCTAGCAGCATACCCCAGGGCTCAATACCGGGTCTAATCCCATTTAACATCGTTATTAATGATCTGGATAATAGGGCAGAGTATACCCTCAGTAAGTTTGCTGATAACACAAAACTGGGAAGAGTGTCTGATATGCCAGAAGGTTGTGCAGAAGGAGCAAGAGTTATAAAGAATGTCTGACCTTGCATCTCAAAATATATGGAAATCCTAATAGGACCGTAATGACACAGTCTGTGGGTTTTTCTGATGTTGAGAAAGAGGAGGTCTTTTATCTGCAACATCATAGATGGAGACTTACAGACTGAAGAAGTGTCCAGGACATTTCAGGAGGTTACAGTAGGAAAGAAAAATAGAATTTAGAAGAGGGCTGGGGATTCTTTAATGTCAGACCTTGTACAAAAAAAAAAAAAAACAAAAAACAAAAAAAAAAAACAAAAAACAATGTGCTTCTGGTCTATTTTTCCATCATATGATCAGAGTTAAATAAACAACGTAGTGCTTTCAGGCAGGTGCTAAACTTCAGCTACAAGTTGTGGATTGCCCTGATGTAGTTGAGACCCCCAAGAGCATTTATTGCATTATAGGAAGCACTTAGTAATGATTTAAAAGAGTTATATTTAGTGAATGGCTGTCTCTGCCAGCATAGAGCCAATGTAAAGGCTCTCTACTAGCCACACTGAATGTCAGTTTTGTAAAGAAATGTACTGGATATAAATTTAGCCAAAGACAAATCACAAGATTTTCCAAGCTTTCTCTTTTTCCTAGGCCCTAGTAGGGAATCTAGTAACTGAATGGAAATTACAGCATGGCTGCTATCTCTTAGTAATTTGGGGCAATAACTGTCTTGAATTAAATAGAATCTAAACTGCATTTAAAAGCAAATTTTTGTAAAGGCCAGCTGTTGTGACCATTCTGTGTTTGCCACAGAAATACAATAACTGATCAGTGGAGCCACTGTGGTGCTCAAAGGCTATTACCTCAGAAAAGGGAAAATAGAGAAAAGGCCAACCCAAACTGAATTGTTTCAGCTAGTCTAATCTCCTGTCTCTGATACTGCTAAGTCTCTTTGATGACCAGTGGGCAGTCTGGAGTTAACACGCACGTTGAAGAAGCCTCTTCCTGACACTGTCACCTTTTTACACATGCTCTGAAGCACAGTGATGTTAAATGACTGGGTTATTGGGGTTTTGGGGGGAGAGGCATTTTGAATTCTTTCACTGGCTTTTTGTAGAGGTATTTGGTCACTTGCTGCACTATAATGACTTAAATGTAGAAACCTTAAGGTATCATGATCTCATGTTATGCTTGCTTTGTTACCCAGACTCTTTCTAGGTATCTTTTTGCATTCTCTTTTGTGAAGGCCATTAAAGAAAATCATGTATTATCTCTTCAATATCTTGCTCTTTTGCTTTCATTAATTTTCTCCTCTTTCTGTTGTTTTTCTTCCATTTGTGCCCAGAGTATGATGCAAAAGGTTTTATTGATGCAGATGTGTTTTCATTCCACAGGGTGGCAGCTAATCCTTATTTTCCTTCTCGGTTATTTTGACATTTCTGCTAGAAGCAGCTTTCCCAGCTGAGTCCCCATCCAAGGCATAAGGGTCATGAACCTGTAAATACAGACCTTCTGTTGGGATTAGAGCATTAGGAAAATCTTATTATATTGTGTCTGTTCAGGCTGTATCAACTTGCTGAAGATTGTAGTAGCTGACAAGACCAAAAAAAAAGCATCATCCAAGGACTAAATTTTGAATATTATATATTGCTACTGTTTTGTGTGGGTCTCTCTTGTTAGTGGTGCTCCAGGCATAACTGAACACAAGTATATGGTGGTACCTCTAGACAAAAGTTGCTTTGATAGAGGCTTAGTTATTGACTGGGTGGGAGAGAGAGGTTCTGGGAGTTACTTATTCATTTTTTACTTCCAGTTTATTTTGACAGATAAATGTCTCAGATAATTTTAATTTAAATCTCCATGTGTCATTAGAATAGGTTCATAGGTTTATGAGTTGAATGTACGGCTTTTTGGTTTTTTGCTATTGAGTTTAGTTTCCTCCCACCCCTTGCCCCAGTTTCTTATTATTGATGCCTGTTAATATTTTTCTTTAAAAGGCTGCTGTTCCGTTATCTTCTCAAACTGTGCTCCTAAATTGTTTTAATTTATCTCTGTGTCTTTCTTTTGTGTTTAGTCGTCTGCCTTTCCCCTTCTCCATTGTTGAATAAAGATATGAAACCTAATACAGAGTCCTGCTATTTCTGCTATATAAAAATCAAGGCAAGTCTTGAGACTCTGGTTTGCCCTGGCTTTGTTTCCTCACTCTAGATGTTACCTCTCAGTTAGGCTGCATCCGCTTCCCAACTGTTAACTGAGGACTTTCATTCATATCACAAGTGTATTTGTAAAGTGGCCTCTTTACTCCTGCAGGTACAGATCACTGAGGCCCTGCTAGTGAGTAAAGTGGGTAATCAGAGCTAGCAGTTGTAGTGACGGGGGCAAGAAAGGAATTCAGCTAGCAGGGTTCTACTGGCATCTTCCTGTTTTGTGTTTTGGATAGTACTGAGATCTCAAGCTGATGGTCTGTGGTCTCCAGCTGGAACTTAGTAACAGCACTAATGGACTGAAGTCTCTGGTTTTGATAGAGTTGAAATTCTTTGTGACTTTGAATTTCAGCCAAGCTTTGTCGTTTTTTCTTTTTTCTTCTTTTTTCCTAAGTGTAATTTTCCTTTGGGACCTTCATGTAGGTGAAGCCTTTCTCTTTTCCCACCCTTGCTGTCATTTTTTCCTACCAAAGCTATGAATGTCAAACCGGCCAGCCTTCTGCCTCTGTGGATGTCCTCATAAAGGAGGCAGATTTGCTGCTACTGCTGCGTCTGTTTCAGCCAGCTCCGAGTTGACATTCCCAACCCTAGCAGTCAGAAGCTGCAATGTTTATGTAGTATACAGAAGGTGTTTCTCTGTATTTCCGGGCATATGCAAAAAATATTACGTCGTTACCTTGCTCTCTGTATATGTCTGTGACATTTCATATCCCCTCTTTTCCCAGAGAACTCGTGTATATTCATGTATTTGTTGTACACTCAAATATGGTACAACAGCACTTGACCTATGCAGAATGATTACAGGAGCAGTTAGTGAGTTGTACTGTTTTGGACTTTGAGTTTTACTGTTTGTTAGAACACTGGCAACTCTTGAATATCAACCTCTTCTCCTAGGCTAGCAGGCTCAAGTGAAAAGTAGCACCGAATTTGTGAGTTGTAGGTAATAGGTTAGAGATGATTGGCAAGCAGTTTAGTCTGCTAGCACAGCAACTGAAATAATCCTTTTGGATCCCAGAGATTTATTATCTGGTCAGAAGCATTCATCCTGGTTTATGATGTTGACTCACTAGAGCTGTCGTTATTTGATAATGTGGATAACCATGAGGCTTTGGGACCATTCTGTGCATTCAGTAGATCTATGCAATCCTTATCAGCCTGACTTCCCATGGAACGAGAGTACAATTGTCTGTCCTGAGCTGACGTGCTTTTTTTCTACCAGTTGGAAGGGGTATGACTTGTGTTCTTCCTAGCATACAGAAACTATTAGGATTGTTTCTAAATCGTAAATGTCATTTGGCTACATAAGACAGGGATTGAAATGAAAACAAGGATACAAAACAATGAAGTGTCTTCAGTGTGATGTATTTGTGCTTCTGCCTTTGATTTGACATGCAAAACCAGGCCTTGTGTTCTTTCTAATGGACCGTGCTACAAGCAAGGATCAGTTTCATTTCAGAGCCTCTTAGTCTACTGGCTATAAGTGGTAGTATCAGGGGTAGAACAGTATATCAGAGGTGTTCTGGGTTTAGCCTTAAAAATGTGTATTAGTTGTTATCATTTCATATAATTGTGCCCAGCCATTTGGCTGCTTTTTATCTAATCTGTTTTGGCTTGCTTGTATGCACTTTTCTATGAAAAGCTTTCCTTGGATGGTATTGAGTAGGTGAAGACTCTTTTGAAATGGGTACCTGTAAAGGAAAGGATCAGAGATTCTACGAGAGAAATTAAGAATTATTTCAGGGAATGTCTGTTTAAACCCTCCAAACAGCTTTTGCACATGTTTATATATTAGTGAATTACAGATGAAGGAAGCCAAAACTTCCAGTTCCTTAGCACCAAAGGAATATTGTCACTCTAAACTCCAAGAAAGCTGACACAGTGAAACCTGTGCTGTGGACAAATAAACACAGCTTTTTAGTTAAAACTTAATTTTCTTAATCAG